AGAAAAGAGTAGTAGCAGTAACATTCTCAGTTGTCCCCAATTTGACACATCTTTGAAAACAAGCTGCATGATTGAGACACAGAACAAAGAACAAAGAACAATACAGCATAGGAACAGGCCCTTCGGCCCTCCAACTCTGCCCCGACACATTTAGCCCTTCCTTATTAAAACTGTCTTCACTTACAGGATCGGTATCCCTCTACTCCCTTCCTATTCACGTATTTTTTGAGATGTTTCTAGAATTATGTCTGCTTCCACCACCTCCTCTGGCAGCGTGTTCCAGGCACTCACCACCCTTTGTGTGAAAAACCTGCCTCACACATCTCTTTTAAACTTCCTCTCTCGCATCTTGAGCCTGTTTCCCCTTGTAATTGACCTCTCCACCCGGGGAAAAAGCCTCATATCTTCCACTCTATCTATGCCATTCACAATCTTATAAACTTCTATCAGGTCGCCGCTCAACCTCCTACATTCCAGTGAAAATAAATCCAGTCTATCCAACCTTTTTTCATAGCTAAAATCCCCCATACCAGGCAACATCCTGGTAAACCTTTTCTGTACCGTCTCCAAAGCATCCACATCCTTCTGGTAGTGTGATGACCAGAATTGTATGCAACATTCCAAGTGTGGTCTAGCTAAAGTTCTATAAAGCTGCAGCATAACTTGTCTATCCTTATAAGCAATGCCCCTTCCAATGAAGACAAGCATGCTATAGGCCTTTTTTACTGCCTGATCTACCTGCGCTGCCACCTTCAGTGATCTGTGGACCTGCACACCCAGATCCCTCTGCACATCAATACTCCTAAGGGTTCTGCCATTCACTGTATACAGTTTCAGTTGTACCCTTTCTGGGTCACAGTGGCTTTGTCGGATCTCCTCATTGAAATTGTCCTTACACTGTTAAGTACCAGCCCTAACTTCCTATAAGTTTCTTCATGAAATTGAACTGTACAAATGCAGCAATCTTTATGAACAGTTTTGGGGGTGAACAAGGGTGAGTTGGAACTTTCATTAAGCTAAGGAGCAGGAGTGTAAATTGTGCAACGACTTGTGACAACTCACAACATGTATTGTCCCTCTCCCTACCAGAAACGGCTGGTTTAATTTACACACCTTATGTGCTATCAAACCTCGGTGATATTTTCCCAGGCAACTCTGGTTTCTTCGGTACAGATTGTTCTATGAAAGTCATCTTCGTGTTGATGAGGATAAAAACCGAGAAGGAAGAGAGGAGACACAGATGGCAGTCATTTACCCCAGGTTTCTAACTGCAGGGTTGGGAAAGTTATCTATGTAATTTCTAGGAACAATTGGAATCCCTGTGTGATCCAACAAAATGATTTCACTCACATCAGTGGGAAATATCAAAGTCTCTAATTTGCTTAATTACAAAAAAAGGAAGGATTTGCAATCCCCTGCCTGGGGTCATTAGTTTGTTTGCCGTTTTCTTTTTAAAAAGGAGGAAAGGATGGGGCAATGAGTTAATGATATTCAATCACTCAGTTCTCGGTGTGGTGTCGTTTAGGAGAAGTTGATGACAGGGACATTGGAAAGGGTAAACGGTGAAGATTTGAGATGGGAAATGTGCCCAGTCCTGCAGGCATAATCTGCCAATCCCACTGATTGCATTAGCCCCAGTAATATGTGGAGTTGCCAGGGCAACTAATATAATTTTGCATGGTTGCATAAAGATCACACTACACTAAAGAGATTTGCAGCAACATACGCCAAACCGCTGGTAGAGCTGATCAAGGTAAATCGCCTCCAAACTTCACCGACAGATTCTGTACAACTCCAGTGTTAGTTCATTTATTCATTGAGCAGACACAGTACCAACTCACACAAACCAATGGAACACTGTTCCACTGAGATCAGGCTGTGGCTATTGCTGTTATCAATTTCCAAAACTCTTTGTTAACTCTGTAAAATTTGTAAGATTCACCTCATCCATTCTCATCTAGTCAGGTTCTAGTGTTGGGTTAGATACAAACAGACAGTAATGCTCCGTCTGCACTGTCCCATCAAATACTCTGAGGGCAGGTACAGAACGATTAGATCCAGAGTTAAGCCTCCTCTACTCTTTCAAACTGAAGCTGTCTCTACACTTTAAAACTGAAAGTAAAACCCCCTTGACACTGTACTCACTACACACTCCTAGGACAGCAACAGCATAGAATTACACACAGAGTAAAGCTCTCTCTACACTGTCCCCATCAAAACACTCACAGGACAGGGACAGCACAGGGTTAGATACAGAGTAAAACTCTCTCTATACTGTCCCCATCAAAACACTCAAAGGAAAAGGACAGCATGAGGTTAGATACAGAGTAAAGCCCCCTCAATACTGTCCCCATCAAAACATTCACAGGACAGGGGAAGCACAGGGTTATGTACAGAGTAAAGCTCTCTCTACACTGTCCCCATCAACACTCCCAGGATAGGGACAGCACGGGTTTATGTACAGAGTAAAGCTCCCTCTACACTGTCCCCATCAACGCTCCCAGGAAAGGGACAGCACGGGATTATGTACAGAGTAAAGCTCCCTCTACACTGTCCCCATCAACACTCCCAGGACAGGGACAGCACAGGGTTAGATTCAGAGTAAAACTCTCTCTATACTGTCCCCATCAAAACACTCAAAGGAAAAGGACAGCATGAGGTTAGATACAGAGTAAAGCCCCCTCAATACTGTCCCCATCAACACTCCCAGGACAGGGACAGCACGGGATTATGTACAGACGGGATTATGTACAGAATAAAGCTCCCTCTGCACTGTCCCCATCAAACACTCCCAGGACAAGGACAGCACAGGGTTAGATACAGAGTAAAGCTTTCTCTACGCTGTCCCCATCAAACACTCCCAGGACAGGGACAGCGCGGGGTTATGTACAGAGTAAAGCTCCCTCTACATTTCCCCATCAACACTCCCAGGACAGGGACAGCACAGGGTTAGATACAGAGTAAAGTTTCCTCTACACAGTCCCCTTCAA